AAGAAAAGGTCATCAGTCTTTTGGCGGTTCCCTAATTGAACCTCCAGGACCCATAATTATATTAATCAAATACCGTGCAGTGTCTAGATATATGATATCTGAACCAAAAAAATAATAATTTAAAACAACTTTTATTTAAACTTTTATTATGGTACTGAAATATTTATTATTATTATATATATTCAGGTACTGAAAATTAATTTTGCTATTTTTGTGGGGCTTAAAAGTAAAAAAAATCTAGGTGTTCAGAGCTTTTCCACTACTCTAATCTTTAGCAGAGACTGAAATTCTTTTAATAAATGGTGAAAATACCCACAGTTATATTCATTATATTCATTAAGGACACTGGAGTTTCTAGATAGATTTTTAAAAAAATTAAAAATCATTCAAATGCAATTCAAAAACCTCTTTTATGAACTTATTTTCAATTTTTATAAATTTGTTTTCATATTTTTTGGGGGCTTACAGTAAACAATATCTAGGTTTTCGGAGAATGGTGAAAAAAAAACGATTTTGTTCATTAAGGACATCGATGAGTTTCTTGAAAGATGTTTTTTAAAATATAAAAATACACTGAAATGCGCTTGAAAAGGAAAAGCAAAAATATTTATACATAAAAAATATTTATACATAATAGTAAAAATAATCAAAAATGTATACATAATAAAATGCAATTCAAAAACCTATTTTATAATTGAACCATTTCAATTTCTGAAAATTCATTCTGATGTTTTTGGAGAGGCTTAAAAGTAAAAAAAAATGTCTAGATGTTGGGAGATTGTGATAAATGGGAAAAAAAAGTCTTGTTAAAAGACTGGAATTTTAAAAAGAAAGAAATGTTTTTTGGCATAATCTATTACTGTTTAGCATAATAAAAAAATAAGCAGTATAAGGCTCTATTAGTAATAAATATCCACCAAATCAAAGCCAGCGTTTAGTGTAATGCAGGAAGCTATTTTATTGTGACAAGAAACCCAGGCAGGCAGAAACACCTTTAGAGTATTTAATCAATCAATGAATAAATGTTTGAAAGCTTAATGATTAAATTGTACATTCAAGGTGTAATGAAATGTGTTTTAGTACTTTTAACTTCATGGTCATAAAAAACAAGAAATCATTGGATTTGTTCAGGTCGTTCATTAAAAGGGTGACACAGTAAACACAATGTGTCATTACATCAGTCTAATACCGAGAACCCTTGTTAGTTTTCCGTCATGCTCTGAGAGCTGTATCTGGTGTCGTGGAGTCTTTTTTAACGCTGTGAGTCAGTGTGTTTGTTAGATACTTTAGAACTTGCATGTGATTCTGAGACGTAAACATGCACTGTCGCTTGCTCACCAGCAGATGTCGCTAAAGTGCTTCAGTGTGTCACGCATCATTGGTCGGGCTTTTAGGCAGCTGCTCACGAGTCAGCGCCTTCTCGGTTGTTACGGGTGAAGTGGGCTCTGATGCAGTGATGATTCACACGTTTGTGTGATAAAGGAACCGAATTTTGTGCGGTTATAATCCGGTCCTCCCTCTCTCGCGCGGAGTCACGACTACTGGATAATCTGAGAGGCGTTTGACTCAGCAGCCATAGACTGACAGAAACAACACCGTGACCAATGAAAAACTGCAGAGGCCAAGTATATAGCCTAGTGGCATTTATAGTTTCAAAACTTAAAGGGGTCATATGATGCTGCTAAAAAGAACATTATTTGGTGTAATGAAATGCGTTTATGCGATTTAAGGTTAAAAAAAAACACATTATTGTCCACATACTGTACATTATTGTTTCTCCTCTATGCCCCGCCTTTCTGAAACGCGTCGATTTTTACAAAGCTCAGCGGTCTGAAAAGCGAGGTGTGCTCTGATTGGCCAGCTATCCAGTGTGTTGTGATTGGCTGAATTCCTCAAGCGTGTGACGGAAATGTTACGCCCCTCACCATACTGTGATGCCTGCAGCAACCACATGTGAGGACCGCTTCGTCCACGGTGAAAGCCGATCCAGCGATCCACAGCGTGAAGTTGATATATTTCCTCAGCGACCAGCTCAGATCAGCTCCAGACATGACGAATAAGCGGATATCGTCCTCTTTTGGAAGACCAAACAAAGTAGTTTCGCTTTCACAATGAAGCACACAGCGCCTTCACGACATGGCGGCAACAACAATACTACAGCGAGAATAAAAGTTATGCCTTCTTTCTTTGCTTCAACATTTGGGCGGCGTTATGCAAATCCACAGCGTGAAGTTGATGTATTTCCTCAGCGACCAGCACGGAACAGCTCCAGACATGACGAATAAGTGGATATCGTCCTCTTTTGGAAGACCAAACAAAGTAGTTTCGCTTTCACAATGAAGCACACAGCGCCTTCACGACATGGCGGCAACAACAATACTACAGCGAGAATAAAAGTTACGCCTTCTTTCTTTGCGTGCACATTTGGGTGGCGTTATGCAAATCTTCCCACATAGTGAGGTAGATATGTGGGGGCGTGTTAGAACGAGACAGATTAGGTAGGTGTGGCTGACTCTTAACTTTTATAAAGAATATCTCTTTGGGTTTGAGACTTTAGTCTTTGCAACTTTACAGATCTTCTTTATGCACCAAGAGCTTGTAACACTCCAAAGAGAAAGGAAAAATTGAAATCGCATCATATGACCCCTTTACTAACTGTTGCCTCCTTGGAAGCAGTGTTTAATTAAACTAAATCCAGATCATTCACATTAAGCCGTGAACAACCCATTGACCCGTGGTCTGCTAATGGTTTGTTGTACTAGTAAAATATGTAAATTATTCATCTCTCATGAAAAAAAGTAACATGACAAGTATATTAGGATTCTTTATATTCAAAAAGATTATCGGTAACCCTGACAAATTCATTATTTTGTATGAAAAACAGTACATACAGCCTTGAAATGTTTTTTTCAATAACTGATCACGTATTAAAATATGATTATTTTAAAAATAAATATTGGAGTCCATATGTGGGAGTGTGTTTCCTACTTACACTTGTGCAAAATGTGCAAAAAATAAAAATATCCCCAGACACAAAATCTGTAAAACTACCTTAAGGGCAATTTGAAAGTGGCTTATAAAAAAAATAGATAATATTTAAAGCAGCTCAGGTAATATGAAAATAGTGTTTTTCACTCTAAAAAATAAGAAATGTTTACGTTTAGGGGTAAGATGAGAGCTGGTCCTTCATGGTTTGCTTAATTTTAAAATATGCTCTTTAAATGATTCATATTCAATCATTCTTTGTAGCACCTTAGAAAAGGGGTAGAGAAACGCTCTCTCAGTCTCTCACATTTCACTGAGGCCAGACAAACTGCTCTGAGCTCGGACGTTTAGATTCATAGTCAAGTAGGCAACAGGCCAAAGATGAAAAAGATGAACTAGGTTTCTAAAGCCTGAAGCTGCCAGCACACCTGTGCAAAAATAGTCGAGTCCTGACCTGAGGCTTTGCATGACTCAGAATATTTGAGCTTCAGTGGACAATAAAGTATATAGGGCATTTAGGATAGTTGTTTTTATACCATAAATATGAAATAGAATAAGTATTGAGGTTTAACCCTGTAAGGCCTGATGTATGAAATAATAGTCAGAAAGATATAATTGTTTTGAAATGGAACAGTTTACTGAAAATTAAGACCATATATATATATATATATATATAAAAGAAAAAATTGTTCAGAGGCCCAAACTGAAAAAAGAGCAATTTTGTTGCATATATTGTTATTTAACATGAAATTCTGATAGCCTGTAATGTAAATGGAGATCTTTATGGCTATAAATGAGTTGTCACTCTATACCTCCTAATAATGTCTTAAGATATTTATATGCTTAGTATTATGATATATCAAAGCTCTGTAGTTGTTATTTTAGGGGGAAACATTATAATGTAACGCAGTACACAGATAATTGAGATGTACAAATAAACATTACTCAAAAGCCTGATGTATCATATCTGACACATTTTAACATGACTTTTCAAAAAAAATAAAAAAAGGATAATCAAGTAAACCTAAATTGTCATCTTGAAAATGTATTCTTTTATAGGCCTACTTTATTAAATTTACTTGATAAAAATCAGTAAAGATTTCACAGCAAAAAGACAAACGTGCCATGACCTGAAGGTGGACAATTTTACGATTATACTAAAAGGCCTTTTACTTTCTAAAAAAAAAAAGAGCACAATTATAATTTATTTGGTGGTTTAGGGGACATGTGCATTATTATACTTTTTGTTCAAGGGAAACTAAACGACAACATTTTATTTAAAACTCTTTATTAAAGCAAAAAGAATGAAGCAACAGAATTCATTTCTCATGGATAGACTGAATTCAAATTCAGAAAGAGGCGGATAGACGTCACAGGTTGCCGAGAGTGGTGACGTCAGACATCACGCATTCACGGCTTGACGTCATCGCTGACCGCGCTAGTGATTGGAGGATTCTAGAGCGCAGCATTCAATGGAGGAACACATGGTTATTACCATATACCCAATAAAGTGAAAGAAGTGCATTTTAACATTTTGCATAATATATACCCCTTGTAACGCTGTTGTGTCGAAATGCTGTGATGTAGCTGATATATGCACCTTCTGTAAAAAAGAAAGTGAAGATATTTGTCATTTATTTTCCTCTTGTAATGTTTCATCACGTTTCTGGAAAGATTTGAGTTCCTCTTGTTTTTCTAAAGTTAATATGAACTGTAATTTACACATTAAGGAAGTTGTTTGCTTTTTTTGAAAACCAAAACTAATCTTTAGAATCTGCTGTTAACTTTCTTATCCTTCTGGCAAAATTCCATTTTAACAAACAAAGGTTTCTTAAGAAAATACATACTTTTATAGATTTCTTATGTGAAGTGGACCATTTAATTCAATCACTAAGAGTAATTAATAACAAAAAATGTATTTCTTTTTTGAAGCGATATGATGAGATCTTTCATGTATTGTGATTAATCCCTGTTTTTTTTTTTTATCCTCTTTTCTTTATTTGTTCTGTTCCTGCCTTTATGTTCATTAAAAAGCTGTTTAATGCAAAAAAAAGAATAATTCTAGAGCGCGTCTTTGTGTAGAAGGACCCCGTTTCCGCAGCACTACAGACCTCGGTTTATTGCGCTAATGCATCGCTGTATAACAGGTCATTTCTTAAGGTGTGCACAAACTGCAAAACTAAGTGAAAGGCAACAAATACATATATTTACCTTTTAATATAATTTCAACATCTGCTAATACTCATAATTCCCAATGCAAACTGGATTTATTGAGGCTTCTCGGCTTCTCCTTGGTTTACATGACAGATTCACGATGATTTCATCAGCCCATTCTTCTCTACCTGAATGCATGATAAATATAGCCCACGGTTCTTCTACTGACAGCGGACTCGAGCGTCGTCGTGATGTCAGTGGATTTTAGGTGCCCCCTCAGGATGCCTGAGTAGATGCGCTCGCCGCCAATGAGCGTCTCCAGTGTGTGAATGTCATTCATTCCTCTGGCTGCCTTGAGAACTTGCCATCACGGATCCTAATTTGGATGTAAAAAAGAGAAGAGAAGCACCTCTCCGGTTCGCCGCTGCCCCTCGATCGCGTGACATTCTGGAGCGTCTAAAACCGCGTTAACTGCGCGCGACTATGGAGTGCCGAGTGCTGTCGATTCAGAGTCACGTCGTGAGAGGATACGTGGGCAATAAATCTGCATCCTTTCCCTTACAGGTGAGCGGCGTTCCTCGGAGGCTCGCGGCACGATACACTCGTGATTATGATGTTATAGTTATATGCTGGTGGAGAAAGGAAAGGTCACATGGTCAGTATTCCCTTGCATGCTGTTCTTGTGCAGTTGGAGATATTTATGTAGTGAACTTCCCTCACCCCGAGTCTAGACCGTTTCATTCCCAGAACTTGGCCTCTTGATTAAAATATGTTCCTATTAATAGTTACTTGGCTAATTGTTTGCCACAGAAACTTAAAGCTCTAGCTAGGAGTGACACAGCCGTTAACCATCACCAGAAATGATTCGGATAGCATTGAATCTCGGTTTCTGAAAGATGATGTGTTCTGAGGGTCCAAACTGTTAACCCAGGCTCATTAGGTTTTGAATGGCTCCAGCTGTCATACCTTCTTCTGAGCGCTCGCGCTGGCTTACGTTTCCGAGACTGACGTCACAGCCGGGAGGCTCTTTTTTTATTAGACTTTATTATTATTATTATTATTATTATTTTTTTCAAAGGCTCTTCCAGTCGCGTCTAAAACCCACGCTCGTGCATCCTGCATTTGAATGTTTCATCTTTAAACTTTTGAGTGTTTCGGTGACAGAGAGTGCTATTTTAGATTAGATAGCCCTCATGTTTTGGAATTGTCTTTATGTTTGTTCTCATGCAAAGACAACAAATCTGTACATGTATTAATATAACTAATACTAATAGTAAGTGAAGCTAACCTTTTATTTCCCCTCAAAATATGTTCCTGTGAGTGTTTGACATAACCACATTCCAGTAGTCAGACTAAAGCTTGAACTTTTCTGGCTCATTTGCGTAATGCATCATCTTTTGAGCTCTTGAACTTGAAACCAGATATGCCCGTGTTATTAGTGTGGTCATTTAGGAAGCTATTGGTTTAAAAACATATATTAGACACCTAAACTTTATTAATCATAGTTTATTTATACAATGGATTGAACCTAGCAGGATAGAAAAGCTGTTGAAGTTACCCATAATAACCATATGAATGTTGAATATGAATGACCCCAAATACTACTAATAGTACTGCTGCAAAGAGTATGCGACATTACCCTTTATTTTCCCTTCAAATTCTTTTATTATTGTGATTATTATTTTTATTTTATGTAAAGCACTTTGAATTACCATTGTGTATGAAATGTGCTATATAAATAAACTTGCCTTGCCTTAATGTTTACCTTGACATAAGCAAACCTCAGTAGGCCAATATTATAAAAGTGTTAACTTCCATTATACTATGACTTATTTGTGTTATGCAGCACCTTTTGTGGTCTCTGGCTTAAAAGCAACTAATATGCATGTGTTATCATCATTTAGGAATTTAAAAGCGTATGCTTAGACTTTCAGAAATATGTGCTGGTCAAGCTCAGACACTTAAACATTATATAGCTTGATTATTAACACAATGGATGGAGCCTAGCAGAATAGAAACTGTGTTAAAGTTACCAGATGCTCAGTAAGGGACTGATAGTTGAGTTTGATGTTTAACCATCTGATAAAATCATATTGTGTAGGAATAGTACATATTCTTATTCTGATCACATGCCCTTGTGATTATTGCATTGAGTACTTTATGTATCTGTGTCACTCTCTGAAGGAACTTCTTTTCATGCTTGGAATGTGTGTGTGTGTGTGTGTGTTTGTCAGGTCTTGGGGTTTGAGGTAGACTCGATCAACTCTGTTCAGTTCTCCAACCACACAGGTAGGCTGACACAAACATTCTGCTGCTTTTTGGAGAACAGCTTGTCACAGTGATACAATGTCATTTGAAAGCATTTTAGATCAAAGTAATTGTGTGGTTCGCTTAGTTAAAGAGTCTCAAAATATTTCAAATGTTGTGTGGAAGCATATTTGTTACTATGATGTCGCAGATGCACTGATGAATAGAATGTGTTACTGTATGATGCCATAATTGGATCCAGATGGAATCATTTTTGAAAATGTGTTAAACAGCACATTAAGAGTTCAGGTTTTTCATTCGATTTTTTGTTAGATTAAGAAGTTATGTGTCATAATGACAATACAACATATGCCCAAACAGGCACTGACAGAACTGACCAACAAAAAAAAAATCACTACAGATTTTATAAATGTAAATTAATGTGTTCTTCAAGTTATTATTTTCGTTAAACCTGACAGGCTGCCTGGACTGATCCGGTTATGAACATGTGATTAAAAATATACTTGTTATAATGACTTTGATTAGTAATGCTTACTAGATAAACAAATTATGAACATTGGCTGAACTGAAACCGTTTCTGAACATTCCAGCCAGTCACAGTGTGCATAATATGCATATAAGGGTTTGAGGCATTAGGGAATTTTTATCCTGATGGTTTTTGATTTAAGATAACAAGTTTTGATCAGTTGTCGGATATCACTTGTGCCGAGTCCCCAAATGCGTTTTCATATTGATGCAGTAAATTTCATTTGCAGATGCACCGTAGTGCCCCTTGACCTCTTTCTGCAACAATGTCTTACTGTCACGAGGACAGAAACAGATGCTTCATTGAAGTGCTTAATGCATATTGCATTCACATGTTGTAACAGTTCATTATGATCTGTGTGTGAAAAGTGTAGTTAGTGAGCTTCCAAACAGACTAAGCACTGATCGCTGTACTTCAAGAGAGTAGAAGTATTGTGATATTTTGTCTCCCCTTTGGATAGTGCACTTCAAATCTGGTCCTTTAAAACATATCCTGCTATGTTTTGATTGAGATCTTTCTTTTATGTTTTGATTGAGATCAGGGAACTTTTTGCATGCCCTGTGACCGGCCTCCCTCTCTGCTTGGATGCTTTCTTCTCCTCTGGGCTGCAACGTTGTCTTTAGCCACTTGAGTTGGGTTTTTCAGAAGCATTTAAGCCTATAGACAGAGGGACACAGACTCATGTGCTGCTGGCTTACTAAGTATTTCCAAACCAGCAGCTAACCGAGTACCAGGATGTATATATATCTAATGTTAAAGAAAAAGAAACTAGTTCAGCATTTGAGTCGTCTTAGGCCAGCTGCAAAATTATGATTCAATTTATTAATCGAAAATGTTTAATTTATCCTTTTATAAAATTTGATTGATCGTTTATGGAAGGAATGCAGTATATTTGCACCATATGGGTCATTTGATGTTGGCAGTTTGATCAATATTGGCCAATATTAGCTATTTCCCTGCTCTACTATTATGAGCTCTTTTTTCTCATTCAAATATGATACTTTTTTTATAGCACCTTTTGAAAGGAATATTTGTCCATCTTCCACTGCTCACTTTGATTACTCCACTAAAAAGTAAAATAGTTTTTTAGTGAGCAATGGAAGCTTTTTTTATATATAAAAAAGGAGATATTATGATATTATAGATTCACTACATCAGCCATTTATTGGTTATTGACCTTAACAAAAACACAGTTCAAAAGTTTGCAATCTGTAAGATGTTTGCTTTGTTTTTGAAAGATGTCTCCTATGCTTAACAAGGCTGCATTTATTCAATCAAAAACAGTTAAAAAAAAACAGTAATATTGTGAAATGTTACAATTTAAAAGTACTGTTTTCCATTTTAATGTATTTAAAAATGTAATTCATTCCTGTTATGGCAAATTAATTAATTTACTTAATTTTCAGCAGCCATTACTCTTCTATGTCACATGGTCATTGAGAAATCATTCTAATATGCTGATTTAGGGCTCAAGAAACATTTCTTAATGTTTGTGAAGAGAAGACCATAATTTAAAAAAATGAACTTTTTGCATCCTTGCTGAAAAAAAACAATCAATTAAATAAAAAACGTACTGACCCCAAACTTTTTAACAGTAGTGTAATTAGTGGTGTATCATCATTATCAGTGCATCCTTACGTTTTTGAATTCTGTTAGTTTACTCGTTACTTTATAGAGGTGACAATGCAGCGTTCATTGGCCATGTCTCGTTAATGTACAAACATTTAACTGGGTTAAATGTTTAGAATTAAGAATTAACATTTAGAATTAAGTTCTTACTCAAGACACACCATGTGTTAATGATGATAAGTAATAGTAATTATTCAGTTACATTTTTTGGTAATCAGCATCTAACAGTACTTTCTGCCTGTTGATGTGACAGCAAGGAGATCTCCAAACTGGACCTTCGCTCTAGCACTTTATAGTTCGACCTTGGATATATTTTTACAGGTTATGACGTCCAGAACTTCATCTCAGTTCAGAATATCAATGGGCACTGCAAAGCCTTATGGGTAGAAACCGCATGCACCTCATGCGGCATCTTCTCAATGCTTTCCCTGATCGTGATTTGGTGTGAAATAGAGTATCTGCATAATACGTGTGGGTGAAGTGACTGGGATTAGAGGTTTTGTGGTTCCAGCTGAGAGGCTTTGCAGAGTTGCGGCAGCAGAAAATGATGACGACAGACACCCGTCTTATCAAAGATTCCCCTTTGCAGTCATCTTCTCCCCATAACACTTACACACACACACACACATCAAGGCTACAATGATGCGTCTTTTTCATCCAGCCCCTTAGGCTTTCCTCTGTCCTGTTTCTTAGCAACTAGAAACATACCATGTGACCAGCTCGGTGACTCACCTGAATTGTGACATCACAGCTCCCGCGGCAACAGTAATGGTGTCTGATGAAGTGGTGGCGCTTCTGTCCGTTCTGTGGTGCGGAAAGTGTCATGTGACCAAACGAGATCTTCATGCTCGTAGCATCTCGAACGTCAGCGGACGCTCTGCATCACCGCTGGATTTTTAATCTGATTTCTGTGTATTTGATCTGTGATCTGTCTTCATTCAGGGTACTCTCACTGGAAGGGACAGGTCTTGACTGCAGATGAGCTTCATGTCCTGTATGAAGGGATCAAGCTCAACAACGTCAACCACTACGACTATGTACTTACAGGTCAGTTCTTTGACTGCCATTCATGCCAATGCATCTCTATTTGACACACGATTACTATGGATTATTTGCATGCTTAGTAATTTATTGAGGGGAGGGATGAAAAATATGGAATGATGTAATTCTGTGATGGCATGAAACAATGTACGCGGGCCGTATGTGGGACCCTAGAGGCCCCGGGACAGCCCGGCACCATACCTAAAGGTCATAATATCATAGAGACCTGTGTCTGTGTAGATATCTTCAGCTACAGGCAATTTTGGTTCATCTGTGGACTTCTAGAAAATAAACTAGTGAGAGTGGGAGAAAGTGTTTGAACAGTTTACATTTCAGTTGATTTAATTTCATTGCTGATATTTTACATATACCAAATATACACATTTTGCATAATACTTGTACAATATTTTCACATTTTTACAATTTTTTTTCATAAAATTTTTTTGTATGGTTTTTGTCCATTATTTCACACGTTTTGCATAATTTTACAAAATTACAACTTGATTTTAAGAGATGTTATAAAAAGTTTTATTTACCTTTTTTAATTTTTTTTCATACATCATGTCTCATATTTCATCTCAAGCATTGTAACCAGGTACACACCGAATTTTGATATATCTTTATTAGTGGCAAAATTGTTGGTTGTGGAAGACACCAGCTATACAAAGTTTTAAAAAAATATATTTTAAATACACTACCATTCAAAAGTTTGGGTTTTTTGAAAGAAATCTCTTATACTCATCAAGGCTACATTTATTTGATCAAAAATACTGTTAAACTGTAATATTGTGAAATATTATTACAATTTAAATAACTGTTTTATTTTAAGATATTATAAAATGTAGTTAAATCCTGTAATGGAAAAGCTGATTTTCAAGCTGATTGTCACATGATCCTTCAGAAATCATTCTAATATGCTGATTTGCTGTTCAAGAAACTTTTATTATTATTATTATTATTATTATTATCAGTGTTGAAACAGTTGTGCTGCTTAATATTTTTGTGGAAACTTAATGTATTTTATAATAGATTTTCATAGCTTAGACCGTAGAGGACACAGGGTCATAGAGTCGCAGGTCTCGCACCAGCACCGGAGAAATATTGTGCTCTATTGAGTGTGTTAGCGAGCGAGAAGTCTCTGGTGCATGGGCTCTCCTTTACCATCACCTTGAGAAGAGAAGGAAGAGAGGAAAGCACAGAATGGCTAAAGAGGAAAGGAGAACATAGGAATAGAGAGCCATGTGAGACTTTTTCACACGCTTTTAAACAGTAAAAATATGTTTAGCTCCATCTAAACATAAATAAGATATAAAATGCATATGTATCGGGATTATTTTATTTAGCTTAAATGTAAATAATTTTAGTTGTTTTGTGGCTTATTGTGTGTGCACTACCGTTCAAAATATTTGGATCAGATTTATTTTTAATTGAAAGAAATGAATGCTTTTATTCAGCAAAGATGCATTAAATTGAACAAAATTGATAGTTTATGTTATAGAAGATTTCTATTCTAAATAAATGCTGTCCTTTTGAACTTTATATTCATCAGCAAATCTTAAAAAAACAATATATCACAGTTTCCACAAAAATATGAAGCAGCACAACTGTTTTCAACTGATGATGATAAGAAATGTTTCTTGAGCAGCAATAGAATGATTTCTGAAGGATCATGTGACACTGAAGACTGGAGTAATGATGCTGAAAATCCAGCTTTGCATCACTGTAATAAATGACATATTAAGATATATTTAAATGGAAAAAAGTCATATCAATAAGTGTAATAACATTTCACAGTATTCCTGATTTTACTGTATTTTTGTTCAAATAAATACAGCCTTTGTGAACATAAGATACTTCTTTCAAAAACATTAAGTTGTACCGACCCCAAACTTTTCAACTGTAGTGTATTTACTTTTAACTTCATAACCAGACCATTTCAAAATCTCAAGAAAAAGGGGTTCTCTTGTACTGACGGTTTAATAACATGAGTTGATTTTGGTGGTTGTCAGCATTTCAGAGCACTCATTCTGTATCCCACCTGTATATTGACTATCTATCCTAATGCCTAGGCTCTATTTCTAGTGCACTATTTCTAATCCCAGCTGTGATGTGGTAATGTGAAAATTGTAACTTCTGTTGGACCCTTCTGCATGCCTCTCTTGCTAGTGGCTTGTATTGTCGCAGTGCGATTTAGTGTGTGACACATGAAAAGCTCTGAAGGTCAGATGAGTCACATGTAGGATTTATTTACCTGACAGGAGAGACCGAGCCGCCACATGACCCATACCTGCAGACTGGCCCTGGAAATTTTAGAGTGGTCCCAACTCAACTTATTGTCACTTCCTTTGATATCGTGCATGCTTTGATGTGTTTATTGGGTTCCAAGTCTGTTCATTTAATACACACATAACAAAGAGTATATTGTGGTGTTCTGATTCTTTTCAGACTTCTGAAATAAAATAATTTCTTCAAGTATTTATGGCAAAGACGGCATAATTCTGACATGTTTTCACCCACAAATTCCCTGTATTGTAGTAATAACCACTAGGGTTGGGCGATGTCTACAAAATTGGCATCGGACGAAGTCTACAGTGAAAATCGCGATGAACGATGACATCGGTGGGGGCAGAGGGGTGTGGGGGTGGAGTTAGGGGGTGTGCCCGAAGCGTGAATCCTTATAAGGGAAAACAGGATTCCTAACACCGTGTCTACACCGGACGCGAGTGGCGCGGCGCGACAAAATACTATAGAACCACTGATCTATAATCGAGATTTATTATATATATATAGATCAGTCTAGAACTTTAGCTGTCACGTCTGGTGTAGACACGGTGTAACAGTTGCCTGTTACATTACAGTACATAAAATTTCACTTCCCACATAAACAGAGTAAGGAGAGATGACCGGTCTATCAGCCATCGGCGATGGACGATGGCATTGTCTATCGGCCCAACCCTAATAACCACAGGTGGCCTGTATCATTAAAAAATTGTATCCACCTTACTGGTTTTAAAATTCTCAGGCTCAAAGAATGAGAATGACCCAAGACTGATCCTCGTGCTTGTGCTGAGTGGTCAGTTTTTGTACTCCAGGCAGAAGGAACATTTTGATCTGGGACGAATGGAGTCAAAGATCAAGAGTAAGATGCTGGTAAGGAAAGCAAAGTATTGATCAAAGCTCTTCTCTCTCTATTACTGCAGGTTACACTAGAGATACATCGTTTCTGGAGATGGTGGTTGACATTGTTCAAGAGCTGAAGAGGGCCAATCCTAACCTTGTATATGGTGAGTGTTTTTCAGTCTCTTTCGTCCTAGGTTAACAAAAGCTGTATAGATTTTATACATTATAAATTGTTTTTACAAGTGTGTTTATATAATAATGCCATCAAAATATTGGGGTCAGTAGGATTGTTTTAAAGCAATTTAATACTTTTATTCAGCCAGGATGCATTGCATTGCTCAAAAGTGACAGTAAAGACATTTATAATGTCTATTTCAAATAAATGCTGTTCTTTTGAACTTTATTGTTGATCAAATAATCAAAATGTATCAGTTTCCACTAAAATATTTAGCAGCACAACTGTTTTCAACGTTGATGATAACGTTTTTCTTGAGTTATTATCAATTTCTTGAGCATCAAATCAGCATATTAGAATGCTTTCTGAAGGATCATGTGACACTGAAGACTGGAGTAATGATGCTGAAAATTCAGCTTTGCATCACAGGAATATATTACGTTTTATGTAATATTTAAAATTGTAATATTTCTTGTTTTGTGATCAAATAAATGCAGCATTGGTGAGCATAAGAGACTTCCTTTAAAAACATTTACTCTTTGCGACCCCAGACTTTTGAACGCTAGTGTACATTAACCTTGCACATTAAAGTATAACTTGTTTTACTCTGTTTTTCTCAGTTTGTGACCCTGTCTTAGGTGACCATGGTTCAATGGTAAGTTAACTTGTGTTCTTATTCCTCTCATTCAGTTTTTTTGTCTTCTGACCCATTCTGTACATTATATAGGAAATAGAATTCGGAAAAATGGTGACATTTATTTTTCATAGTACTCTTTGACTTTTGCAGTATGTTCCTCAGAATCTCCATCCTGTGTACAAGAATAAAGTGGTGCCTGTGGCCGATATCATCACACCCAACCAGTTTGAGGCTGAGTGAGTAGAATACCTCCTCTCAACAGCTTTGTGTGTGTTATTGGCTGTGATTGGCTGTTTCTGTGCTGCAAATGTCAAACCTCTGTCTAGCCCCTCACCTGCTTCAGTATGACAGAAGAGTGATATTGTAGTTCCCTCTAGTGGTCAGCTGTGGATTTACCCATACATCTTCAGTGCCTCACAGCTGTTCACATCACACTGATGTGCAATCAACTCTTCTAACTCCATGTTCTTCATTCCAGGTTGTTGACAGGGAAGAATATCAGCACAGAGAAAGATGCTGTTGAGGTGAATTTAAATACATCATGCCCCATAATAGCCTATAAAAAATGGGAGGCAGAAATAAATGTCCGAATATAAATTAGATGCACTAGCAACAAATGATACACACACCAAATTTCCAAATTTGATTGTTATTTTTTATTAGTAGTAGTAGTAGTAAAACAATTCATGTTTTTATTACTATTATCTTATTATATATATTTTTTTATTACTTTATTATTATTATTATTGTATTATATTATTAAATTAGTAATAATACAAATAATTTTCTAAAATATTTTAATTAAAAATAATAATAATTGTTATTATTATTAATAATACATGTTATCAATGAGAGCAATAAAAATATTTATAGTTATAATATATTATTATCAGTAATAAAAATAATGTTTTTAGTAGTATTATCTTATATATTGTTATTATATATATATATATATATATATATATATATATTACTTTATTAGATATTATTTATAACTATATAATAATAATTATTATTATTATCATTATCTAATATTAAATTAATGATAATACAAATAATTGTAAAATGTTCTTAATTAAAATAATAATTATTATTATTAATAATAAATGTTATTATCAATGAGAGCAATAAAAATAAACATTTATTGTTGTTGTTATAATGTAATAATTATTGTAATTGTCAATAATGTTTTCAAATTATTCTTTTATTTTTACCTTATCTAATATATTCTTATTATTATTACTGTTATGCAAATAATAATAATGATTATAATTGTTGTTATAGTTATTATTGATAATAATAAGAAATATAAATAAGAAAAGAACAATAATAAAAATAATATTTTAAAGTTGCTGTTATCATAATATTATCTAATAATATACTAAAATATATAATTAATAATAATAATAGTAGTAGTAGTAGTCATTTAAAATCATTATCCTTATTATTATCATCTTATCTACTAATATATTATTATTATTACTGTAATGTAAATCATTATAATTTTTTATAATGATTTTTATATCATTATTTTTGTGAACCCTTTGGAGACAGTTGTCTGTATTTTGTTGGAACTTTTGAAAATTGAAACAAAGCACTGCTGTTCACGTGTTACTGGCCCCCGATCGAGGTCTCTGACTGTGTGTATGTGTGTATGTGTGTATGTGTGTATGTGTGTATGTGTGTATGTGTGTATGTGTGTGTGTGTGTGTGTGTGTGTGTGTGTGTGTCTGTGTGTGTGTGTTCAGGTGATGGACCTGCTGCATAAGATGGGTCCAGACACTGTGGTCATCACCAGCTCTGATCTGCCCCCTCGTCTCGGAGACAGATTCCTGGTGTCTTTTGGCAGTCAGCGCATTTGTAAGTGTGTGTGCTTCCTGTGCAGCTCAAAATTGCTTTGTCATGAATTTAAAAACATGTCGGACTGCTGAGCAGTGAAAGATAATAGCACTGTGTGCAGATTTTACCAATGACAAAATTCGCAATTATGAGAGCTTATTGGAATGCATATGAATTCAGATATTTTTATATTTATTTTTTAGATATTTATTTGAACAGCCTACATGGGATTGTGTAGCCTAGTGGTTAAAGATCAGGGCTGGTTCATGTATGATAAGTTCTTGTGAAGAATGCAGAATAAAGTAGCCATGTTTCTGCAGTGATGCCGGACGGTACAAGGACGACCCAGCGGATCCGAATAGAGGTGCCGAAGGTGGACGCGGTGTTTGTGGGGACCGGTGATCTATTTGCTGCTATGCTGTTGGCCTGGACTCACCATTACCCAACAGACCTCAAAGTACAGCACATTAAAACAATATGTCATAAATGCATCACAGTGATCATGCAGCATAGTAAAGAAAATGCTGATCAAATCTCTTTCTCACTGTTATTCTGTTCTTCGCAGACGGCATGTGAGAAGACTTTCTCCGTCATGCACCATGTCATTCAGAGGACTATATCTTATGCCCATGGTAAAACAACAGCGAAAAGTTGTTTATTTGATATGTATATGCATGGTGTAGGGTTGAACATTTTCAGCATCAGGCGATACCAACAACAAAAACTAATATATTACTGAACACACTCTTGTATTTAAAAGGTTAAACAATATAGCATTAACAAATTAAAGCCGTGACATGAGCCTTCAAGTATTTTTAATGTAAGTAAACATTTTTTTATTTTTTAAGTAATTAAGTCAATAATAAAACAAAGAACAAAAATACAAATAAATAAGCAGTGTGTGACGTTTTTCAGGTATTTTGCAACAGTATGAAGTAATGAAATCCATTAAATATTTAAAAATGAGGGGAAAAACACTTAAAGTACTTACAACTTTTTTGTAATTTAATATTTCAATATAGAATTTTATATTCAATATTTTTTAACTCTTAAAATGATAAAATCTTAATCAAAACATAGGATATTTACTTATGCATTTGTTTGGTTAACAGTTATGCCATTGAAAAGTCTAAGCATGTATTTCATGCATCACTATAATCTTTTTATGTACTGTATATACTATACCGTTTGGGGTCTGTAGGATTTTGTGTAAAGAAATTAATACTTTTATTAAGCAAGAACACATTAAATTGATCAAAAGTGACAGTAAAGACATTTATAATGTTACAAAATATTTCCATTTCAAATAATTACTGTTCTTTTGAACTTTATAGTCATCAAGGAATCTTGAAAATATGTTTCCAGAAAGATATTAAGCTGCACAACTGTTTTCAACTGATGATGATAATAAGAAATGTTTCTTGAGCAGCAAATCAGCATATTAGAATGATTTCTGAAGGATCATGTGACACTGAAGACTGGAGTAATGATGCTGAAAATTCAGCTTTACGTTACAGGAATAAATTACATTTTTAAAAATATTAAAAAAGAAAACAGTTATTTTCAATTGTAATATTTCCCAATATTAGCTAGTTTTTACTGTATTTGTGATCAAATAAATGTAGTCTTGGTGAGCATGAAAGACTTCTTTCAAAGACATCAAAAAACATCAAAAACAAGATCTTACCAACCCCAAACTTTAAGCAGTAGTGTATATAAATGAATGAGTGACAATAAGCTTGTTTCATTGAAATGTTTTCCTCTCTGTCTCTGTCTCTCTCTGTCTCTGTCTCTCTGTGTCTGTCTCTCTCTCTGTCTGTCTCTGTCTGTGTTTCTCTCTCTGTCTGTCTCAAGCATTTATAAATGCGGAAGTTTGAGCATTTCACTTCATGTTTGTTTGTCAGTGTAACAAACATTATCATGTCATTTGTTTTGAACTGATTGTATTTGCATTGATAATCTACTTGTTTGTACAAGCAGAACTTTAAAAGTAGTTTTAACTTTTTATTTGATAGTATAGTATTTTCATATCTTAAAAGGAAAAGACTTGTATGAAGTCTAAAGTTCTGGGGGAACTTCTTCAAATGCCTTGATTAACAGTAGCTGTGTATGTGTGCTAGTCTGGGGATCTGCGCCTGCTTCTCTCTCACTGTGTCAGAGAACGTGGTGCCTCTTGGTTACAATGCTGTGAAAGATAATAAAAGGCAGATGAGTTATATATTTCATCAGACTTGTTCTCCTTTGTTCATTTCATAAGGAGATTGATTCTGGCAACATCTTCCTTTGTGTCGTATGTCTGTTTATATCTCTGTTTGATCCATTCTCCATGACACTCTTTGACTTCTGTTTTACGCCTAACTGATGCTCTTCCAAAACTAGTCACATTTCCTTTATCCATATTTTCATCCTCTAATCATTTCTGAGTTGCATTCGTGTTTTAAACGCTCAAAATTCCTTCTTACTGAATCTCACGAAAACATATCCATGTCACATTTAACTCCAAAGTCAATAGAAAAAAAGAGGGGGAACAAAAAAAGACAGAAATAGAAGGAAAAAAAACATTATAACATATTTTAGGACCATTATAATTTTTGGGGATTTGTATCATTGTTTTTGGTGCCAATTTTGCACATTTTATTGTAATACAATAATTGTTTACATTTAAATCGGCATGAATTGGTTCGACAAAAAAAAAAAAAACCATGATATATTAGAATTTTTTTTGCATTACTGAAATGATATATTTAATTGTCATGTAAATAGTTTTAGAATAAAACAAATTATGATTGTAAAAAAAAAAGCTAAATTTAGACGGCATTTCAGGCCTACAAGTGCTCTGAAAATCCTGTTGTGCTTCACATTAGTTGAGACTTTCATAGCTCTGACTCTTGAAGTGAGTGTAAGTTATTTTTCAAATAAAATAATGATTGTAAAAAATCTGCAATTTTTTTTTTTAAGAATATTCAAATTTCTTGTTTATTTCTTTTTATTTTGGGGTGAAATATGACCAAGATATGTTCTTTAATGAGATTCATCAATCTTCATCTACTTAAGCTTCTAGCTTTTCATCTTGTTTTCCTTAGCAAAAAAAATAAAAGATGGCCATGTGCAGGACTAATCAGGGGTCAGCATTGCTCTGAGGGGCATGTGCTTCAGCGTTTCATTAGTTACTGAGCTGTAATCTAACTACTTATGTGTACTTGTACATTGTGTATATGTACGTGTGAATGACAAATGGGTGGTTCTACTGTGAGTGTGCGAGTATTTGTGTTCTCTGAAGGAATATGAGGGTGTGAAGGGTTAAACGGGGGAGGGAAGTAAAATAAGAAAAGCCAAGTCTATCTGTCAGTAAAGACAGTGAGGTGGTATACAGATGATCATGACATCAGTGATGACATCCCTTAATGAACTGTACTGGTACCATTTGTTAATGGCACTTGCTCAAGTGCAACTAAACAGGTTTATTTTAGCACAAAATGTCCACTTCTGCATGAAGATGCCTTGGTTAACCTTATCGTCTGACTGCAGCAAAATGTTCATGTCAACTTTATTTAAAGCAAAAGTATGCAAGTTTTTACCTTGAAATAT